CGCTCCGTCCCCCTCGTGTTCTAACCCAAAGCTTCGAAACTTTTCAGCTCGAGTTACAAAATCGTTTTCAGTGCCTAGAAAACTGCAATGAAGTATTAGATATAATGTCGTTTATATCTAATACTTCATTGCAGTTTTGAGCTGAGCTTGTGGAAACTGTTCACGCGGTTGGAGCTAAGTTCTGTAAGATCCGGCGTAGAAAATCACAATGACTCTCCTATCACACTCTTCATCATATTTATTCAAATCATCAAACCATGGCTGTTAGACGGGAGATGAAGCTGCAATTGGCAGCAGATTTGAGAACACACAGGCAACTGAACAGACAGATATCGAAATGCATTCAACGGGACTTACGCAACTTTAATACAGCTCGTATTGAATAAGCGATTGAGCAGAACCAAGGCTCCAAAGTCTTTGCCAGAGATCTGTCTGCCAGAAAGAGTCAACTGTTGAAGCTGAATACAGAATGTGTCAGCATCATTTTTGGGACACCTGAGATTTTGAGTGAGGTTGAGAGGTTCTATGGGCAGGTGTACACGTCGTCGTTGGAGCCACACGAAAGTGTGAATAACGATGCAAGAGCAAGTTTTATTCGACAATCTACCGACGATATCCCGGACGTCAGTCTGAGCGAGATTAGAATAACTCACCAGCATATTAAAAACGGCAAGTCCCGCGGGTGAGGATGGAATTACAGCGGAGGTTCCGAAAAAGTCCTCTAGCAGCTCTTCGATTACGTTCTCCATGGTGACATTACTCCGGAGGCGTGAAGAAGAAGTGGGGTGGTCTTGTTCTTCAAGAAAGGCGACAACGCTCTCTTGAAGAACTACAGATCGATTTCTCTTCCGAGCCACATTTACGTACTGTTTTCGTAAGTTATTACGAACCGTCTCGTACGCGGACACGACGACTTCCAGCCTCCCGAACAAATCGGTTTCCAAAAAGGCTTTAGTACCGTAGACCACATTCCCTTCGGCATATTGAGCATAAGTCCGAAGAGTACAATCTGCTATTTTGTCTTGCGTATATTTTCACTGTCGGTATATCGAATTACTGAAGTGTTTATACAGTAGCACTACGATGGCTATCCGAATACAGAACCGCAGTACGAAACCTATACAACTGCAGACAGATGTATGATGGGATGACGTTTAACCCCGAAACTCTTTACCACTGCATTGGAAGATATTTTCAAGCTACTGAACTGGAAAAAATACGGTATTGACGTCAATGGCGAGGACATCACTTACCTTTGATTTACCGACCATATAGTCCTTAGGGCAAAATCGATGAAGGACCTAAGTACTTTGCTCAATGACCTCAATAGTGTTTCCCAACAGATAGGTCTTAAAGTGAACATGACCAAAACGATAATCATGTGTAATGTAGATGTGACTGTGGTTGTTGGGAGCACTAAGCTCAAAGTTGTTGGCGAGTATGTTCACCTGGGACAAGTGGCCCGATTAGGTAAGTCAAACTTCGACCGAAAGGTCAATCGACGGGTTCAACTCGGCTGGGCAGTGTTTGGGAAATTGCGACACATTTTCTCGTCAGGCACACCTCAAAATCTCAAAACTAGATTGTACAACCAGTGCGTGTTACCAGTGATGAATTATGGATCTCAGACGTGATTCTTCACTGCCAACCGAATGACGAAGCTCAAAGTCACTCAGTGAGCTAGGAGAGGGCTATGCTCGGAGTTTCTCTGCGTGATAAACTCAGAAATAAGGATATATACAGTAGGATCAGAGTAACCAACATAGCCTAACGGATTAGTAAACTGAAGTGGCAATGGGTGGGTGGTGGTTTCACATAGCTAGAAATACCAATAACTGATGGGGTGAAAAGTTTCTCGAGTGGTAGCCTCGTACCGGCAGGCGAAGTGTAGGGCGTCCCCCACTATATGGAGTGACGATCTGGTAAGACATGCAGGAAGTTAATGGATGCAGGTGGCTCAGGCCCGTGGTTTGTAGCATTGCTTCGGGGAGGCATACGTTCTTCAGTGGACTTGTGAAGGGCTGTAATGTATGATGACGACGACGATGATGATGAAGTGGTAGAATAAGAACATCCACTACTAACTACTTCAGTACTGTGTTTGATTTGAAGGTATTGAAATTTAGTATATATACATGTATATATGTAAGTGACCGGCATTCCTCTGTTTGACGTTATCCATGGGCTGCGGTAGCCACTTATTACCAGATGGACTGTAAGTTTATGACATCATTATCATAAATTAATAATAAATAAAATAGGTTGTTACAACAATAGGTTGTTCTACCAACTCAGAAAACACCCTGTCTCAAACAGAAAAAGGTTGACAAAGTAAGGTCCACTTAGTTTATGAAAGATAGAAAAAAAGTAAAGTTTAATGATTATGAACTACGAGTATATTAAAAATTCCGTTGAGAAGCTGTTTATACATTTATAATCAAATTATTAATTAAATATTTTTGAGATACGTTTTAAGAAGAACATAAATTGACCACTGATGCACAATATAGGTCTTACTCAAGGAATTCTAAAAAACTCAATATTAATAATAAGCGAGTGCGAAATGCTTAAAATAGCAATTTAAAAAAATGAATTTATCATTGCCACCCTGCATATCGGAGTTAGATATTTAGAGGAATTTTGAAGTCTACCCACACACATCGGGACAGTGCGCGATTTTTTTGATCACAGCAACAAATTTCAAATGATTAGAAGCTATTCTGACGGCTTATTATGACGAAATATTTTAAAGGAATTATGAGCAATAAAAATTCGAGACAATAACAAAATACATATGAGAAATAACAATATGGACCATTAAGTATCATATTATTTTTAAAGCATTAGTCATATTAATAATACGCCTACATTAGATAAAATGCTCCCAAATAAAAAATGTTTTACACGTATAGTAGTAACCCGTAGTATATTGCATTTAACAAAATTAATAATTCTGTCTTTAACAATTTCAAAAGCCTAAAATTCTTTTGTTCGAGGTTTCAAAATGTCGAATTACGTCGTTCAGTTTGGAAATCACGCCAAGTTTATTTATAGTTGCTCACCGTTATAAGAATATCCTACCCAACATCATTCCGTGAGTGTCGTAAGAAGCGGCAGAGCAAAATTGAAACAGGTGATGGGCAACAGTATCTTCCTGCAACAACAAACCTTAGCAACTCTAATAAAAAACTGCATTTTCCAACCCGGCTGCCAAGTGTGGCAACTATGGCTTTGTTTGTCCTATGTAAGAGAGACCACATTCACAATCAAGCTTGTACACTCCTGCACCTTGCAGAGACACATTCCCCTTGAATGATGGTAAAAACTGACTAATCTTCTTCAGTGATTTGAAATATGTTTTAAATAACGTATCTAGATGTAGAGAAACTTGTCAGCGACACTTCTGACATATGGCAGTACAGCACAAGTTGCACTATGGTTGGATCGTTTTTCGAAAAATTTTGGTTATCGGCCAAATAAAAATCAATACGTTATTCAATGGTATGAACATGTTACTCCGAGTTGCTTGACCTGATATTATTTGACTTTTTCTGGTTTATGGTTCCACCACCCATTAGGTTTAGGCTGCGAACCATTGTCAGGTCAGTGCGTCCGTGCTCTTCATGCCTCTTTAGGCTACCCATTTACGTTTCTTTTGCTTTAGGTATCCAACCGAGCGCCATTAAGCAACTTCGCTAACAAAAGGCAGTAACCACTTCTAAAGCACTACATTGTAGCCTATCTACAAACTTGATAGAAAAGAATTACATTAACATTCAAGCGTAGATATTAACTGTTATCGGACTACTGTAAATCATCTTTTCATCATCAAATCGTAAAAGTCCAGTTAGGACGCGGTTGAACATGGGCATCTCCCATTGTAGAGAATATTTGCCTTAATCGTTACGACTGGATCGTCTCACAATCACAGTATGATATGTACCAGATACAGTATCATAGTATAATGATGTTTCGCAATTTTGACGCTATTTTCCATCATTGTTCGTGGTGTGATAAATTCTCTTACATTTATCGTACTACTGGCCAACCTGCAGATGCTTTTGGGGAATTTTAACGTCTCTAGTACAGTAAGACGGTAAAAGAAGTTAAAAAATATCATCGTAGTCAAAAGCAGCCAGGAGAACAACTACAACTATATTTTTCAAGTGGTATTTTTATTTAATGAAATAAATCTGTTAGAAATTATAATGTTTTATTCAATATAAAAATCATGCTTTCAGATTCGTGAATCAGTGTAATATGGTAACAACTCCACATGTAACTGTAATAGTTTGAAAGTCATAAATTAACTTAAATGAATTCATCATTAAAATATAAACTTTGTCCGATGAAAGTCACAAACTCATAAAATGATGCATGTTTTTATCATTATTTTATATAATACTACTTAGTCTATTCCATACTTTTTACAAAAAAACCGACTTGTAAATCTACATTTTACATTACTATTATTTACAGTTACACAACCAATAACTAAAGTAAGCACATAAACCTACAAGCAAATGTATATTGCACATAAATACTCAAAGCAATTATTGCCCAAACAGACAATTAGCACGGCTTTGTATAGTAGTAACTATTATTTTTATCAAATTATTTGTTCACAAAAATACAGCCTTCCAAATAGTGTTATGGTATGTACATGGTCATATATTGAAAAAAATTACAAAGATGTTTTGAGCAAAATGTTGTACAGTATACGAAAATAACAAACATTTATAAAAATACTACAGATTTTGCCAACGTAAACAACGAGATCATTTTACAACAAGAGGACTGTTAAAATAATAATACAATTACATAGCATTGCTATTACTTATAATAACATAAAAATTTTATTATATATATTTAAATACTGAAAGGAGATAACATTTTATATAATCATATATATCAACAATTTTTGGTTAGAGATTGTAACTCATAAAAATAAGAACTTTCCTGATAATGTATATTTCCATGATTTGAATCAAATGTATATTTTACACGCAACTTTCCGGTCCTGGCAAATTGTCAGGTAAGACGTGTTCTCTCCTTCGTGCGCAAGTTTTAACTTTGGCTTTTTGTAATGTGGAAGAAGTTAGACTTCCCGAACTTAGTGTTGGTCCAATAAGACTCGTCGTACAGTTTTCGATAGTTGGACTTATATTACCATTAGGGCACACAAAATTAGGACTACCTAAAGTAGGACTATTCGTTGCAATAAAGTTAGGCCTATAATTATTTTGAAACTCCGCAGGTAAATTTTGATTGATCACATCTTCTTGTCTACTGCTTGCGATAATTTCATTTACCGGCGTTAACTGTGAAATAATAGCAATATTTTATTAACAAAAACTATATATATATAATATATATATATATATATATATATATATATATATATATATATATATATATATATATATATATATATAAAGATCACTGTTAAAAAAGTTACATGAAAATACTCGTACCTCCTGTGACTGAACTGCCGAGTCCAGTAGGGCCAGATCGTCTGCTGAAAAAACTGGCCCAGAATTCTCCCAATCTTCTTAAAATAATAAATAAAAATATTACAAATGTAAGTTGTAGAACGTTTCAGTAAAATGAAAGTTTTACATGCAATTAAAGATAATATATTTATTTTTATAATTTTATGAAACAAGTACATATAATTTTCAAAAAAAAAAAAACTCTTGAAACTAATTAACAAAGTAATAATTTAAATGTAAGTAAAATTACCTCGAACTTCTTTAATGTTAGCCCATTCCTGGCCTTCTAGTCCATTGTGCAGAGATGACTGAGCTTCAATATCTGTTGAAATAGAAAGTAGATAAAATATCTCGATACATAAAATGGATTACCAATAATAAAATTCATTATTTAAGCATACAAATATAGCTTAGCAACCTTAGCTTAGCTATTGCAGAATGAGCAGCAGATTTCTACGAGGCATTAAGGAGATTGCATGAAGATGTCCATGAAGACATTCATACAACTTCAAATAAAAACTAAGCTGGAATACCTCACGCCCTGTAATTATACGAGGTGTCTATACCCTTCACACTGGTATATAGCAGTGCAAGCTCTGTTATTTGGTGGCAAAAATAGGCTGAGAATGTTACCTCACTGCCGGACTCGTACGCAAAAAAGATTTATTACCTAGTGAAAAAGTATACCTTGATAAAGAGCTTTCATCAGGCGGGTTCATCAATCGACTGCCGTAATCTACTACGGTGGTAATTATTATGGTGATGCTGAATGACCAACATATATAAATATTCATCAAATTAAGCAATCGATTGTAGCTAAAATATGATGTACATCACAAAAATAAAATTACTGACATTCTCCCATAACGTAACTTGCCTGGAGCATTTAAAATGTCAGGTTGTGGATCAGGCGTTTTCACTTCAGATGATGGTTTTATTGTGTATGCTACTACATATCTCCGACCACCATCGCTTAACTCCAACATGTCACCTGGCGGATGCTTGATAGGTGGGTGTGAACGACGACGACGTGTACAAAAGGCGCCAGTAGCTATACTGCCGATCGCTAGTATTACTCCTAAAGCAGCAGCAACTACTACTCCCATTGTTAAGTTTCCCACAGCAGTTTTTCCGTCTGTATAATAAATATAAAACTAGTTTACAATTAATATATATATATATATATATATATATATATATATATATATATATATATATATATATATATATATATATATATATATATATCTGTGGTGTCTGGGAGAAACCTGATAACTCCATTAACTCCATTCAACAAACGTATAAACTTGATTGTGAATGTGGTCTCTCTTATATAGGACAAACCAAAAGATCAATTAGGATCCGCGTAAAAGAACATATAGCTGATGTGAAGCATCAACGTTCCGGGAAGTCTGCAGTTTGTGATCATATCCTAGACGGCCCCAACCATTACATCAGATTTGATAGACCACAAATCCTCGCGAAAGAACACCGATTCCTACCAAGGATGATACGTGAGGCTATTGAAATTAAAAAACATCCTAATTTCAATAGAGAAGGAGGCTGGGTACTACCACCTGCTTGGGATCCTATAATCAATAAAATTAAAACTAAACCCAAGCATACCACTGCAAGACCTCAGGACATAGTCAGTTCATTTTGCATAGATCGGACCATAAACAATAATTAAAAAAGCTGAAGGTACTCCGGGTTTAACAATGACATCGGGAAGTCAGTCATCTCAGTCCCCCGTGACCATGGGTGCTGGAAAGCGCCCGAAACGTCGGGAATTAAAAATAAAAAGTAAAAATAAACGCGATAAAATCCGTAAAAGTAGTTTTAATCAAATATTAGTAATATTTAAACCGTTTGTTATTGAAGGTCAAGCGTCTCATTAGCTGCGTGTACACTCCTCCCGCACCCCCCTCGTAGTTACGAAATAATCAGTGCGCAGCCTACCTCAGGAGGACGAAATTGTTGTGCACTGGTCCTGGGACGCGGCAAATTGCTAAGTGCGCGTCCACTGACGTAGTTAAAATTTTACGTTATAACATATTTATTTTTGGCCAAATGACATTTATTTTTGGTAAGTACTCCATTGTTTTGTTTATTTATGTACCTGTGTAGTATAATTTTATGAAATTAAGAGTTATTTTTTTATTCTGAGGCTTTGTTTTATATCTTTTTAGCTTTTCATTTCAGCAAAATGAATAAGCAAGACGAATCAACCGCTGATGAGGCGGAGCCCGAAGTAATCACATTTTATAACGGTACTAAGCATGGAGTGGATACTGTTGACCAGATGAAAGAAGAATACTCTGTGGGCAGAATGACTCGGAGGTGGCCAATGAGATTATTCTTTTCAATTTTGAATATTGGCGGGATAAATAGTCACATACGCATTGGAGCAGCGCGGCGGACACTTCCATGGTATTCAGTTGGAGCCTCGTGACTAAAACCCTCTCAGAAATAATTGGAGGCCTGTGCCCAGCAGTGGGGCGTATATAGGCTGTAACTTTACTTTACTTTACTTTACATAGTCACATTACTTACACAGCAAACACTAAAACTGTCTTACTGCGTAGAATGTACCTAAAAGTGATATCCCTTGCCGTGGTCACACCACATTTCATGAAAAGATCTAGCATAATGACATTCCCGAGCTCACTAAGAAGACAAATCGCTCACTTTGTACCAATGGTGAACCAAGAAACCCATGAAAAGCGAGAGGGAATATGCTCAATATGTCTTACGAGAAAAAATCGACACACAAAAAAAGGGTGCAAAGTATGTGCTAAATTACAGTGCAACGAGCACTGTATTTACCTGTGTAAGAGTTTTTTGACGGGGCATACGGCCAAGATGTCTAAAGAGTGTTTTTTTTCTAATTTCTTACGGTTTTGTTTATTATATAAGAGATTATGTGAAGTCGTTCCATATTTTGTTACATTTTTTTGAGAATAATTTGAAGTTGATTTTTTGAGACTTATTTATGAGACTGACTTAAGAAGTTTGATTTTTCTAAAGACTTATGTTTTATTTAACCTTTTCTCATTTATAGTAAATTTAAACAATTAATTTGTAATATTTTAGTTTTTCTAAGGGCGGCAAAATGCTATACACGCGCCCACTTACGTTCCATGAAAAGGCGCGCCCACTGTGGGGTTAATAGTTTGGTACAAATTCGATAACTACACTAGTCATGATATTATCAAACGCAAAAAATTAAAAATTTAGATCTTATTTCTAATAACTCCCACATATCAGCTCTGTATCAAATATTTAAAAATATTTTAACGATTTTCTAATAAAAAAATGATAATTCCCACTTGTCATGTTTGTACCACTTATAAATTAAATAAAGCCTTGCTTCAACACTGATTAATCCCACATAACAAGTTTCTACCAAAATTATTTTTATTTTTTACTTAACTTCTGCAAAACTTATCAAAGTTTGATGCTAGTTATTATTATGAATAAATGTGAAAAAATTGATAAACCGCCATCGATGCGTATTGTTGTGAACTATTTCGCTTCTCGACTCGGTTAACTGTCAATACTGTCATTTCATTCGTTTTTACCCTCTCTCTTTCTTATTGACGGTTTCGTTCGCACCCTTTTCGCCAACTCTTGTCAGAATAGGTGAAGTTTTTCAAACGAAAACAATATTATTACAGTTTTAAAATGAATAATCGCAGAAACAATGCACAAAGTGCTCGTTCTCGTGGCATAGTAGATTCGGTGTTGCAATTTTCAAATGATTCGCAGTCCGAGTCTGATTTACATGTAAGTGAACAACTTTTGTTGCAACTAAGATTGGTTAGCAAGCAAATAAGTAATTTTTACGTTAAATTCGATAGCTAGAGCCTTTTCTTATTCATTCAATCTTGTTTTTTTATTGTAGGAAAGAAATGTAGTACTCGTTACCGAAAATGTGTTAGTACATGCAACACAAAATTGGTCTCCTGACAGGAATAAACAAGTTTCTTACTCTCGCATTGATAAAAGTGATGACGAAAATTCTATTGAAATAGTAAGTAGATAGTCATTTATAATTTACATGTGTGTGAATTAATACTTTATCTTATGCATCTTAAAGATTTTAGATAACTGTTCGATGCCCATTGAGTCTGAATTTAGAACTGATTATATTAAAATAGAATTGGAAAAAATAGCAAGCTCATTTTTAGATAATATTATGGATAAGAATTCGTTTGAAAAAACAGCTACTTCCCACTCAGTAAAAACCACAAGACCAACACAAGTCCAAGTAAGTTTATTAAGATAATTAGGATAGTTTTGATTTCCAGCCTAAAAGAATGTAATGATTAATGTACTTTCAGCTCGATATACCTAGCTCTCAGACTCAAAAGAACAATGAAGACAGGATACCAGAAAATATTGATGAACATCTGAACGATACTGTTTTACACCAAATTGTTTCTGAAACTTCTAATTAAGTAAGTACCTTAGTTTAACCTTGTGAGGATGCTAATGAAAAACAAAATTTAGAAGAGAAGAAGACTATTCATCAAAGTAAAGCTGAATCACATTATAATTCGAAAAGAGAGGACAAGGAATTGAGTAAGCAAAGTGATGGAAAAATTGTTGTTGCTGCATTCGATCTACAAAAATGTTTAGCGACTCCTTATCTATCAGCTGGAATATCGTTTTATAAAAGGAAGCTATGGACTTTTAATTTAACTGTACGTAACATCACAGAAAAACGAACGCACTATTTTTTTTTGTTACTAAAGTATCGCACAAAGAGGTGCGGATGAGATTGCATCATGTTTGTTTCGATTTATTGTGGATCTATCAAACACTGTAGAGCAGATAATCTTCTACTCAGATACCTGCCCAGGACAAAACAGAAATAATATTTTACCATTAATGTTTGCATTAGCTGTCAATAAAAAAACCAGTTTAAATGAAATTCATCACAAATTTTTAGTGCCCGGACATATGCATTTGGAATGCGACAGCGATCATGCAGCGATAGAAAGATTTATAAAACATCATAGAGTTTCAATTTCTGTTCCACAAGATTGGGCAAACATTATCCAAATGACTAGTCGCAGATACACAGTCCAAATGATGACACAATAAGAGTTTTAGGATTTTCTCAACTTTTCAAAACGAAAAGAAACATTGATACCGATAAAAATCCTTTTATTTGGAACAATATTTTTTGGATAATGTGTTATAAAGACTCTAATGATGTGGCGTTCAAAGAGTCTTTAGAATCAAGTGAACCTTTTAGATACTACTCACTTGTTAAAAGGGGACGGGTATCATCGGTTGCTACTATGAGCATACCAAGAGCATATTCGAGTCCTTTACCTATATGTTCAAAAAAGTACCATGATATTGTAAATTTGCTACCTTTTATAGATCGTGTTTATCATAATTTTTATAAAAATTTGAAAACCTCAAACACGAATCCCGACTGCAAGCGACAGTGACGAAAATTACGAATAAATTATAACACTTACGTTTCACTAACTTTTGATTTCAATATGTTAACTCCATTGTTATCGATTTAATTAGTTAATGTTAACTTGGTTTAAAAATGATAAGTGCCATTTAAAATGAAACAGCTATGTTTTTAGTTTTAGTTAATATATTTATAAAAAAACCTGATTAATAAATAGTTACTGCAGCAGTGGTTAGCTTTTTCCACTTTACCTAACTGATTTATAAATTAAACTTGAACCTTAAAAGTCTTATACTGAAAAATTACGTTTTTGGACTTAACAGGTTTCTCCCAGTCACCACAGTATATATATATATATATATATATATATATATATATATATATATATATATATACGTATATGTATATATATACTAATAGTAAACTAATCTTAGAATTAGTAGATGCACGTTATATGCTTCATATTAAATATAACTTAACATAAAATCACAAATTCATAAGATCAATATTATCCACTACATGATATGGTATGTAACAATTTTTAAATAATAGTAACCTGTATGTTTGGCTGCGTCTTGAAATTCGATATTTTCTAATAGCGTTCTTTCGGATTCCCCTTTTATATTTCTGGCGTAAATTAGTAAATTTAAAGTAACGTCGTCAGAATATTTTTCAGTAGGTAACTGAGACATGTCTAGCCAAAACGTTGCTATTCCGTCTGAAATTTAATTTAAAAAAGGATCGCTATTATGTCATACGTAATCAAATTATTGAATAATCGCTACAAGTTAAATAGAAATAAATATAAAATCTTTACATCGTATTTTTCTCCTTTCTTACCAGTTTCATTTACAGAAATATTATATCGAGTTTTACTAGTGATGGGGTCCAAAGCCTCTAAAACAAACATTTGTGGTGAACCACCGTCGTATCCAGCCACGCAACGAATATACAGTAAATTATTATCACCGCCTGTATTGTTGCTCCTTATTTGTAGGGTGCAGTTGCGAGGAGAAGACGGCCGCGCTGTAAAAATATTAGAAATTGAAAAAAAAAATGGAGTAATAATTAAGCACTAATACAACATAAATGATGAAATCTGAAAGATTCTACTATAAGAAAGTATTATTATTTTGACAGAACATAATTTGAACATAAAAATAATAATATCATAATAATAAAAAGGCGTAGGGAATTGACGACCCCATCACCCGCTGACTAAACAGTTAAGTGCCTAATCTGCTACGTTGACTAAGTCAGTCGGCGCCTTGCCATGAGTTGTGAGCGCCGTGCCTCGGCAAGGTGCAAATTTTTGTTTGTACATATGGCCTCGCCATTAAACGGCGCCGGGTCTGAGTGTCTCCCGTTAACAGTCGCCCTTTACATGGATGACGGAAAGTCGAAGAATGCGCAAGAGGCTGCTGCCTGGAGGTTGCCAGGGTGCGTCTGGAGCTGGCTCTGGACGTGACAACAATTGGGCTGACAGCCGAGTGCGGGGTACTGCACGACCACCCAGCAGCACTTCGTATCCGTAGGGTCTTCTAGGACCCAGCAATGGGCACCCACCACTGATGGAGTACGTCACATACGATGGACAATCCATATGAATAGTAACGCAATGCAGGCGTACTTCAGAGTGAAATGGAGGCCGGAGTTTTGCGTACCGGACCAGGATGCATCGCTTTTTTGCTAAGCTAGAGCCGCCTATTACCGTAACCGAGCAAAACCTGACAGACTGAGTTCGGTACATCATGCGCACGAAAATATTTGATGACACCAAATTTGAACAGCTACGGGTGTTACCACATTGGATAAAAATGCTAAGGCAGGTGATGCAGCGTCACAAGTTGCAGAGCAACCTACACACGTGGCCGTTGTGGTTGAATCAGACGATGATGGAATAGTCAATGAATAGTACATTGGAAGAGGCAATTACGGAAACGCGCAGTACACCTCTCAAAAATCCACTCCCCGCATATGTGAGTCCGCTAAGCAAGCGGAATTGGGCTGTCGTGAGGCCTCTAAATACCATGCTGGTAAACTATTTGGAAGCCAGCCGGGACCGTTGCAAGAGGGACTCGTTTCCTTTTAGCGCCGCACTGGCAGTCTACCGTATCGTTGGCACCAAGGTTTTCACGACTGGACGCGATACTGCACAAAGTAATGCTACCCCAGCCAGGAGAACAAGAATTAAGGACCGTATCGCAAAAGCAATGGCATACTGACAAGTTTCAGTTAATAATAATATAGGCCGAGAGTTGTGTGCACCGTTAGAATGGCGTTTGCTACGATAAATATCATTCTGTCCCAACCGGATAGAACACAGAAACTAACAGAGCGAATAGACAATCTAAAACCAAGAATTGCTCCTTCAGGGAAACGGATTCAACAATATACCGAGAAGTCAAGGTGGTTCAACTAAATAGCCTCTTCCTCTCTCTAAATTTCTCTATAAAATACTGGAGCGGCCATCGATATGCCGAATTGGCCAATAATCCAATAAAGCCGATACTTGCGTCTTCTAGCGAAATCTATGGTTGAAGTCCGTTAACTATAGCGGGGGCCCTTGGAACAAATTTGTGGTGAGTCAGAATGCGAGTATTACGCCCAAGAACCCCTTCATTATAACGCTGGATGATGTATCTGAGGAAGTCCGTGGGGCTCCGTACTCCGGGATTTCGGGACTTGACAGGCTGCACTACTACTGGCTTAACGGTTTAGTACCGTGTCACTCTGTGCTTACCCAACAGTTTCAAAAGTCTCTCAACGAGAAATCAATCCCGAGCCTCTTCACTACTGGGATCACTCAATTGGTTCCGAAAGACCGGGCACTCGGTGCCCGATACATGGCTGAAGAGGGTCTTCGAGCTGTACAAGGTTGACTGTAAAGTTAGAGGCTTCCTCGGGCAGTGTATGAGGCAGTAAAGTACGATCCTTTGTCATCTAGACGAGCAAATGACGGTTGCGGAAAACCACATAAGTATAAGAAGCGGGATACCGGAAGATATTACCGGGGAAGATATTCCAGGGCAATTTTTGGAGTCCAATTTGGATTTGCCTCTATCTGAACCCTCTCAGTATCTTCAGTAACTTACTGAAGGGCTACGGTAGGAAATTTCAGCTTCGGAAAGGAGTCAAAAATGTGAGCCACCTTATCTATATGAATGATCTCAAATTATTCACCTCCAGTCGTTGCCATCTTATGGAATTGCTAAACATTACTCATGATTTTAGCAATTCTATCAGAATGGAGCTGGGGACACATAAATGTGCGGTCCTCTATGTTGAGGAGAGTAGGTTGTTAACACTGAGTTCATATACTTATTTATGACCATCAACATAAGGACCCTTTCTGAGTCTAAAACATACCGATACCTGGGTATCTCACAAAATATAGGTATTTATGAAGAGGACATGAAGCAATCAGTTTGTGATCTGTATTATGCAAGCTTGACCAAAGTGCTCAAAGCTTTTTGTTGGGCGTGAATAAGACACAGGTATATAACGCATATAACGGTTTGGTCATGCCTGTCCACATACCTTTATCTCACTCAAGTGGACTTAGAACGAACTGAACGTACTGAATAGAAAATTCCACACTTTTATGACGTCCCATATGATGCACAATCCGAGATAGTCGGTAATGTAGTTGTACTTGCCGCGGAAGCATGGTGGGCGTGGCGTTTTAAGCGCGTTCACCACGCATAATTGCGAAGTGTGCAGCCTCCGTAATTACTTTCAGACGAGATCTTATGATCCATTTTATACAAATATAAATAAATATACAAGGATCTACATGACCCCTTTGTAGATACAATCACCTTTCTCAAATGGCTACGTTTAATAGATAGCGCCATTGACATCTGTTAAGCTTGCCGCCACCTCAGTGAATCACTTAGGGATATCATCTCTGGTTATTCGACTTTTTTTAACTCTGAGTACTTGCACAGACACAATCTTTTAACCAGGATTCTACACTATGATTTCGCTTTGAAATACGGTCTCGCGGTCTTGGCTCTCTCGTGGTCTACGGACTAGACTATCTTACGATTATTTGCGAGGTTATTGAAATCAAAAAAACGTCCTAATTTCAATATAGACGATGTTTGGGTGATTTCATCTGCTTGGTATCCTATAATTAATAAAATTAAATCCCAACCCAAGCATACAACTGCAAGACTTCAAGATACTATAAGCTCATACTGCGTAGATGGGAACAAAAGCTAATAATTTTAATCTGGAGGTAGCCGTGGTTACCTACGAAATTGGAACGTCGAAAACTTACCCCCCCCCTCATCCCCGCAACATGGGTGCTGTAAAGTACTACGTATATGAATAATTGAGAAATTGTTTCCTTTCACATTACTATAGCCGATACAGGTTACTTCTTTCTCCTTTTTATCAGTTTGTAACACTCTACCATCGGATATGGGCCTCAACGACTTAAGAAGGGGTAGCGTAATAAATAAGAGGTGTTTTGATATATTTTGTCATAAAAAGCTTACCTGCAGGCACAATCTGAAACACACAAGCTTCGAGTTGTCTACCCACGGAATTACTTCCACGACAACTAAGTGTACCGTAGTCACGTTCGCTATGTACTTTGTAGCTTAATTCGCTTGTGCTTCCATTTGCGATCCCTGTTTAATATATTAACAAAATTAACTATTTTTTTAAGTGCCTCTAGTAAGTCCAGAATATAATAATTTACAAAAACAAGAATGATTTCATCCTCAATTCACTCAAATTTAAATCTAACAAAATTAAAAATATTTTAATGTAGTAATTTCACAGGCAGTTTTTGAAATTATTGTCACTGTTTTCGCAATCATCATCATCATCATCATCATCGTTACAGTCCTTCACAAGCCCATTGCTAAATATGGGCCTCCCCCAAAAAATGCCACAAACGGCCTGAGCCACAAGTTTTGTCACATAAAATATAAACTTTATGTATTAGGTTTTAGACTTCAATATATTATACTGAATTGATATATTATGTGAATTAATTTTATTAGAGTAAATTACAGCAATTATTATATACGTAAAATTAAATAAAAATAATAATTAAAATTATAATATTTACAGTTAATACTAATTATACACAATATAAAAAAATAAAGTATAATATAGAAAAACTAACACTAAAAATTTTAATTGCCAAAAAGTCCTGCTCCCCGTGGTATAGTGCCAAGAACGCTGGCTGCGTTTCCTCGCTGAATAGCTATATTAAGACTTTCAGCGAGGAAAGAACCAGCCCTCTTATCACCAGCAGCGACGACCAGTCGTGGATACAGTTCCTTTAGAAACTTCACTGCGCGTGGACCCCACGGACCGGGAGTCTCTACAGCAAATGGCACGAATATGTTGTCATTTCTCAAAGACTCATATAATTATACCGAATTGAAATTAAGATATTAATTATACTCGTTAGTTCATTGACCCTAATATCGTTTATACGTTAGTATTATATTTTCGTTAATTTCGTTAAAACGTTGAAGTATTGAAGTTTGCAAGTCTAATTTAAGATTTTTTTTATGAATAAGACAGTATACATAGTTATAAATTAATACAATATTGAATATACCAAATTTAGCAGGAGACACATCTAAACTTTCGCCACTATTATTGAACTGCCAGAAGAATGTGACATCAGGTGGATTTGCTGTTACAGAACATCGTACTCGTAAGGACTCATCGAGTTGTGCACCAATAACTTGTGGTGATGTGTGCGAACATACTGGAGCATCTAAAAAATAAACCCATGTCACAAACATTATCTTTGTGTTTTTAGAGTTTCAGACTCCTTAAAGACACAACTAAATTATTTAAGAGGCACTTATATAACATTGATAATAGATGAAAGTATTAAATATAATGAATGAGAAGTTTCGTCATTGATGTAATACTTTAACCATCTGTCGAATAATTTCTTTTTTAATAGTCTTTTGGCATCTGCGACAGGCTATTATAATTTTCGCATAGCTTTTAGTACTTCTAAATAACTTTCGAGGTGATTAATTCCTGGCACCATTATAATACATCTTAAACCTGTAAACATAATGTTAGGTATGTAGGATAATAATTTACATTAAAAAATTCTAGTGAATACTACGAACGTTGTTTTTGATTTTTTTTTCCTATAATTTAAGGTACTAGTAGAGGCCAATTTGGCCTTCTCTTTCCAAGTGACCACGAAACTGCACGTCACTCGATATGTCAACGCCGAGGATTCCAATACTGGCTGAGGCAACAAGGGGAGTGCCTTGAAACTGAGGAGATACGACAAAGAGGTTCTTTTTAGCGGTTAACGCGCAAACTTGTGTCTTCTGGGGGTTAAACTGGACTAGATTTAGTCGCCCCCAATCCGAGTTCAGCAAAGACTCGACTTCAGACACAAGTTTGTCCCGGCACTCGGAGACGTTTTCACGAGAAAATTGGCTCGGCCGGTGTAAAGAGCATCACCAGTGCTGTCATCTGCATAGCAATGAATGTTACGGGTTTGCAACATATCATTGATATGCAGAAGAAACAGCGTTGTCGATAGCACGCAGCCTTGTGGAACACCAGCATTAATAGGCTTGCAATCGGAGCTTGCCGTGTAGTGGCTGTTGAGAATATCCACTACCCCATATCTTCCCGTAGGTGTCGTAAGAGGCGACAGAGGGAGACAGGCAGGAGATGGGCAGCAGCATCTTCCTGATAACAAATGTGTTATAATAAAAAACTGCGGTTGCCAACCCGCTCGCCAAGCGTGGCAACTATGGCAAATATCCCCCATGAATAACGACGCAAAAAAACGGCCCCAGTCCCCGGCGGCCCCGCTATTCCTGGCTACGGTGGCGACCATGGTAACGACGGGGCAGGGGGTGCTGAGAATCTCCGGTGGAGGTTCGGTTGCCACCTACGACGACTCGACCTGGCAAGATATAACGCACGCACCCTGAGGACTGACAAGAAGATACTGGAGATGGAAGAAGAGGTAGACAAGTTGCGCTGGCATATTATTGGATTATCCGAGGTCCGAAGAGAGGGGGAGGATACGGCAATCCTCGAGTCCGGCAACTTGTTCTACCACCGGGAGGGCGACCATCTGTCCCAAGGAGGTGTCAGATTTATCGTCCACAAGTCTCTCGTCTACAACGTTGTAAAGATTGGGAGTGTGTCGACGGGGGTTGCGTACCTGATACTTAGAATCACCAAACGGTATCCGCTGAAGGTCGTACAGGTTTACGCACCAACCTCGGCACATCCCGATGAGGAGGTGGAGGAAATGTATGAGGATATTTCTAGAGCCATGCATTCCTCCAAAACCCACTACGCGGTGTTGATGGAAGACTTCAACGCAAAACTGGGCACAAGAGAAAGCGGTGAGCTGAAGGTGGGGAAATTTGGAGTAGGGCAACGGAACCGAAGGGGCCAGCAGCTGGCCGACTTTATGGAGAAAGAGGGACTCTTTATGATGAACTCTTCCTTCCAGAAGCGGCCCCACAGGAGGTGGACCTGGTCGAGTCCCGACGGTACGACAAAAAATGAGATTGACTTCATTATGACGACCAGACGCCAACTGTTCAGTGATGTCTCAGTGATCGCAAGGGTGAAAACTGGCAGCGATCACCGAATGGTTAGAGGCACACTGAACCTAAACGTTAAGTTGGAGAGGTCTCGTCTAATGAAGTCAACGCTCCGTCCCCTTCGTGCTCTAATCCATAATCCCGAAACCTTTCAGCTCGAGTTACAAAATAACTTTCAGCGCCTAGAGGATTGTAATGCAGTGGACGATATGAATGACAAGCTCGTGGAAACTGTCCATGTGGTCGGAGCAAAGTTCTGCAAGACCCGCCGCAGAAGAACACAAAAACTCTCCAATCACACTCTTAATCTCATGGCTGTTAGATGGGAGATGAGGCTGCAATCGTCAACAGATTTGACAGCATACAGGCAACTGAACAGACAGATCTCCAAATGCATGCGGCAAGACTTACGCAACTTTAATACTGCTCGTATTAAAGAAGCGATCGAGCGGAACCAGGGCTACAAAGTCATTGCCAGCGATCTGTCTGCCAGAAAGAGCCAACTGTCAAGGCTGAAGAATGAGTGTGGCAACATCGTTTCCTGGACACCTGAGATTCTGAGTGAGATTGAGAGGTTCTATGGGCAGCTGTACACATCGTCGTTGGAGCCACACGCAAGTGTGAGTAACGATCCAAGAGCAAGTCTTATCCGACATTATTCCGATGATATCCTGGACGTCAGTCTGAGCGAGATTAGAATGTCTCTCCACCACCTTAAAAACGGCAAGGCCCCGGGCGAGGATGGAATTACAGGGGAGCTTCTGAAAGCGGGTGGAACACCGGTACTTGAAGTCCTTCAGAAGCTCTTCAATTCCGTCCTCCATGGAGGCACTACTCCTGAGGCGTGGAGCAAAAGCGCGGTGGTCTTGTTCTTTAAGACAGGCGACAACGCTCTCTTGAAGAACTATAGACCGATTTCCCTTCTGAGCCGCGTCTACGTGCTGTTTTCGAGAGTCATTACGAATCGTCTCGCACGCAGACTCGACGACTTCCAGCCTCCCGAACAAGCTGGTTTCCGAAAAGGATTTAGTACCATAGACCACATACATACCCTTCGGAAAATTGTACAGAAGTCCGAAGAGTACAATCTGCCACTTTGCCTGGCGTATGTGGACTATGAGAAAGCCTTTGATTCCGTCGAAATTTGGGCGGTACTACAGTCTCTTCAGCGGTGCCTAGTTGACTGTCGGTATATTGAAGTGCAGAATTGTTTGTACAGTAGGGCTACAATGGCTATCCGAGTACAGAACCAGAGTACGAAACCTATCCAACTGCAGAGAGGTGTAAGACAGAATGATGTTATATCCCCGAAACTCTTCACCGCTGCGTTGGAAGACGTTTTCAAGCTACTGGACTGGAAAGGATACGGTATTAACATCAATGGCGAGTACATCACTCACCTTCGATTTGCCGACGATATAGTCCTTATGGCAGAATCGCTGAAGGACCTTAGCACTATGCTCAATGACTTCAGTGGTATCTCCCAACGGATAGGTCTTAAGATGAACATGGACAAAACAAAGATCATGTTTAATGTCCATGTCACACCTATGCGGGTAATTGTTGGGAGCACTATGCTCGAAGTTGTTGACGATTACGTTTACCTGGGAAAAATAGTCCGACTAGGTAAGTCCAACTTCGAGCGAGAGGTCAATCGACGGATTCAACTCCGCTGGGCAGCGTTCGGGAAATTACGACACATCTTCTCGTCAGGTATACCTCGATCTCCGAAAACTAAAGTGTACAACCAGTGCGTGTTGCCAGTGCTGACTTACGGATCAGAGACGTGGTCCTTCACTTCTGGCCGTATTAGGACGCTTAAGGTCGCTCAGCAAGCTATGGAGAGGGCTATTCTCGGAGTTTCTCTGCGTGATATACTCAGAAATGTGGATATCCGCAGTAAAACCAGAGTGACCGACATAGCCCAACGGATTAGTAAGCTGAAGTGGCAATGGGCTGGCCATATAGCTCGAAGAACCGATAACCGATGGGGAATAAAGGTTCCCGAGTGGCAGCCTCATACCGGTAGGCGTAGCGTAGGGCGACCCCCACTAGATGGAGTAACGACCTAGTAAGACATGCAGGAAGTCGATGGATGCAGGTGGCTCAGGACCGTGCTTTGTGGCATTACTTGGGGGAGGCCTATGTTCAGCAGTGGACTTGTGAAGGGCTGTAATGATGATGATGAATCGGAGCTTGCACCGTCTACAACGACCTTGATGCTCCGATCTGCAAGAAAACTGGTGATCCAATCGCACAATTTCTCGGGAAGCCCATAGGAAGGAGCTTCGAAAGAAGCACTTTGTGCAAAACCCGATCGAAGGCCTTCGCAATGTTCAAACTAACGGCCAATGCCTCCCCCTTGGACTCTACTTCCTCCGCCCATCTATGAGTTAGGTAGACCAGAAGATCACCAGCTGACCGACCATGGCGAAAACCGTATTGGCGGTCACTTATCAGCTGGTGATCCTTAAAGTACCTGATGAGCTGGCAGTTTACAATAGACTCTATTGTTTTGGAGAACAAGTAGGTGATGGCGATAGGCCTGTAGTTGGACGGGTCTGAGCGGTCGCCTTTTTTAGGGATCGGGTGGACTAAAGCCGTCTTCCATGATTTTTGGACTAGGCTTAGGGAGAAGAAGTACCGGAAAAGACGCGTTAAAACCGGTGCCAACTCTGGAGCACACGTCCTCAGCACAATTGGGGGATTCCGTCAGGCCCACTCGACTTGTAAATGTCCAGGGAGAGGAGTGCTTTGCGAACCGAGCGCTGTGTGAACTGCAGTTCCGGCATGGAGCACTTACACCGCGGGATGGTCGGCGGCGTACTCCCCCCGTCATCGAGAGTAGAGTTGGACGCAAAGAAAGAGCCTAGAAGATCGGCTTTCTGCTTTGCGGTACGGGCCAGTGAGTCGTCCTCCCTGTGCAGAGATGGAAAAGATGGCTGACAGAAATTCCCCTGGACAGCCTTGGCGAGAGACCAGAATGCACGGGTTCCAGAAGGAAGGCGAACTACTTTCTCGCCAATTCCGCCTATGTGCTCTGACTTTGCCTTGGCAATGACTCTTTTGAAGGACCTAGAGGCGGAATTATATCTTCTTTTTTATAGCGCTGGTGTTTATATTTCGGGACGCTGATGCGTCAGCCTAGGCCCGGAAGCACTCCTGCTTATAGCAT